AGCCGAGGTTATCATACTATGTGGCAAAGCCGAGGTTATCATACTATGTGGCAAAGCCGAGGTTATCATACTATGTGAATCGGTTTAGGCTGAGTATATTTATACATAGATGACTTCACTATTCTGTCTCTGACAACCGTATTTATTACGTTTCGTCGACAAATTACATTATAACCTGTCTTTGGGGTCAATCGGTACGAATCACTTAGCATTCATCAAACATGGTTCTATATTTATAACACCGAAACGAAAATAAAATATTGAGATATGTGCAAAATTATACCATATTGGCAATATACAGGGACAAGATCTGAACTTACAGTCGACACAAATTGTACAACATCAGCAACAGACAAGGAAATGATTTGAACTCTAGGTCGACACAAATTGAAGAGACCAGAAACTGCGGAGACCCATGAGCAAAATATAAACATCGTTAACTCTCACTAAAATGGAGACAAAGCCATGTGTTCCAGAAGGATAGGCGTTTCCGGCGCCACATGTGGCATCTTTATTGTGGATCCCAGAAACACGGGCTGGTCAGTATGTTGACCACTGTGTCTGCACAACTGACCATTGTCCTGTTTATCGTGTCTATATCTGACCAATATCCTAGTCTGATGGACAGATATGTGCGTATAGGTATAACATATGTCAAATAGTTTTCATTGTCGAATTAACTTTGGTCAACAGATTATGTAACAAGTCTGATTTATAGGACCTGCATTCTGACTGTGAAATTACATCTTAGAATGATTTAATTTGTGTGTCGCCATAACTTAAGATCTATAAGAGATGCAGTGACTCATCAACAGGTGAGAAATGGTCAGGTAGATATAAGTGTAATCTCATAAGAGTTTTATCTACAGGTAAGTAATACAGGTGATGGAGATTTTAATCTAGCATATAATGTAGTCACCGGACTAGCAAACGTAATAACGCTCTCCTCGTCAATTCACATTTCCTGTAGTGAAGAAGCGACCATTGTCTGATCTGTACGTCAGTGTGGTTTACCTGTTATATTCTACCTAAAGTAAAACTTTTGTTCCTTTGACCCTGCATGTAAGTAACAGTCTACTTATATACGACCAGAACACTATGTTATCTTTACATCAATGACACTGCCTTTAACGTACGCCCCATGAGATCCTTTGATAACAGTGTAAGGCCGAACATTGAAATCGTATTAATCAGATGAAACCGTGACATTTTCAAATAGCAGCTATAGCGTACCATTAAGGACCTCGTATCTGGAAAGGACCATGTTTAGCCAGATGGTAGTTCTAAAGTCATAAATCACACTAAACCATTTAACAGGTAATAGTGCTCACCTGGAAGTTAGTTACCTGTCATCACTGTGGTCAGACCTGTATCATGTCATAACAGAGCGATTTTACCGGTCTTTATGTATAGGTAACAAGATGAATGGCGACCGTCTAAATTGTACCTATAACGTACAAATGACTGGGTCCTATCATAGATCGCGTGTCAACCAAACGTAGTTATCTATACAATGGGTTGCATACCTGCCTTTGTCTGGAGGTTTTTGTTAAATGAGGAAAACAATAAAATGATACAGAGAGATATGTATCCGATTTATGTCGTTAATTCTTATAGTTCTATCTCCTACTTAAACAGGCTATTGCCATAGGGTTTTTTCTGGTCATTGATGATCGGTGACTATAAATATCAGCGTATATTACATAGTTATGTATCTATTAATCATATCATGCATGCGATACCTTCATCTGATATCAGATGTTCCTTACCTGGGGTTAGCATTGTCAAATTAACACACATGAAACCTGTAGCCTATCCCAGGTAAGATCAATACATGTGTATTGGGTACATATTTGAACTTTGTATATCGTATATCGTGAATCTCACACGAAGTTTGATTTGAATAATCTTTACATAGCGATTAAATTTAATTACAGGTAAATATACCTACCTCTAGTTGAATTCCAAATAAATCAGCGTTCGGTTCATACTTTGGTACACGGTCAGTTTCACTGACGTCACTCGGAATCTTCTTTTCTTCCATATTGTTGTTATGTCATTTTAAACTCACATTGAGAAGTTGTTCTCCGTAACTAACAGATGATGAACGTGTATATGTCTATGTAGCTTGTTTACACCCAGCTGGTGGATCAGTTACTATCTATATACACACAATTCACACATAAGGTATAAAACCTATTATGTTACGTTATCGGTTGTGTTTGGATCAATAAAAACCACGAAGTTGATGCATTCCAATATACACAGTGATGAAAACATATTGCTGTTGACTTTTACCGCATAGCATCGTAAGGAAGGAGACAAAAATAAGGTACATCTATATTGAGCATAGAGGGACTCCGTTTGACATAATAAAACATAATAATCCGAACGGTTCCGCCGTCTGACTCGTCTGCTTGAAGAGCGACGGCATCTGTCGGCTCTATCCAACGAGCGCTGTATACAAGGATGCACGAAACATTGAACTGACGGCCGATTAGGCCAGTGGAGATAAAACAAATTATGTGTCCGTATATAGCCTGTCAGCCGGGTTGTTGTCTGTACACAACCTCTATCAATACACACCAATCACAATAGATCACCGCATACCACCGCTTTGTTCGTCCCTCCCGACTCTAAAGCTGTCGCCTTTTGTTTACAACACAGGTATTTACTATTTAGACGAAAAGCGTGCAGATCTCCGAGTTCGTGTTTTACGTCGTCCCTCGTCATAACCTTCCGTGTACTTTTCTGCGGGACGGTGTAATACACATATAAGTATTAACACATACGTGCTTTTGTCTATCTCGCCAAAAGAGCAGTTACACGTTAAACGGAATTTGTTATTTATGGTTTACACTTATAAAAAAATGAATAATGCAGATATCTATAAATTATCAATGGAATGCATTATCAGCCGTACACAGGCCGTTGTAATCGATACACGGTGCACGCAAGGTGTTCTAACGCACACGCGAGTCGCTAGACCTTTTGTGTCAAATATTTTTTTTATCTTCTACGAGTTATGAACGTTCAAAGGAGAAAATGTAATTAGTGTACCAAGAATAGACCTGATATCGTTTAACACTTAACAAATGCCTTCTGTAACGTATACCACGTGAGTGCTATTTAAACGGATACGACGAAAAGAAGCGAAAATTAATAGCTATTTTTATTCAAACGTTGCATAATGATGTAAAAATGTAAGAAAACTTGTAGTATTCACAAATGTAAATTGTTTTGTATGCTGGTTTATAATAATTAACACATTAACACAGAAAAATGTTCAACAGTAAATAAAATTAAGATGGTATGTAGTTTTTAAGAAAAGCAGCGCTTTACTTATAACATGAATGTAACAAACACACAGATAAACGTTATTGAATCTTTAAAAATAGCAACAGTATGCCAAAAAATGAAACACACTGCATCATACAGCTGTCTCGTCCTTCTAGGACTCACTGCATCAAAGAACTGTTTCGTCCTTCTAGGACTCACTACATCATACAGCTGTTCCGTCATTCTAAGACTCACTCCATCATACAGCTGTCTCGTCCTTCTAGGACTCACTGCATCATACAGCTGTTCCGTCCTTCTAGGACTCACTACATCATACAGCTGTCTCATCCTTCTAAGACTCACTACATCATACAGCTGTTCCGTCCTTCAATGACTCACTGCATCATACAGCTGTTCCGTCCTTCTAGCCCTCACTGCATCATACAGCTGTTCCGTCCTTCTAGGACTCACTACATCATACAGCTGTCTCGTCCTTCTAAGACTCACTGCATCATACAGCTGTTTCGCCCTTCTAGGACTCACTGCATCATACAGCTGTTTCGTTCTTCTAGGACTCACTACATCATACAGCTGTTCCGTCCTTCTAGGCCTCACTACATCATACAGCTGTTCCGTCCTTCTAGGCCTCACTACATCATACATCTGTCTCGTCCTTCTAAGACTCACTGCATCATACAACTGTTTCGTCCTTCTAGGACTCACTACATAATACAGCTGTTCCGTCCTTCTAGGACTCACTACATCATACAACTGTCTCGTCCTTCTAGGACTTACTACATCATACAGCTGTCTCGTCCTTCTAGGACTCACTCCATCATACAGCTGTCTCGTCCTTCTAGGACTAACTACATCATACAGCTGTATCGTCCTTCTAGGACTCACTACATCATACATATGTCTCGTCCTTCTAGGACTCACTACATCATACAACTGTCTCGTCCTTCTAGGACTTACTACATCATACAGCTGTCTCGTCCTTCTAAGACTCACTGCATCATACATCTGTTTCGTCCTTCTAGGACTCACTACATCATACAACTGTCTCGTCCTTCTAGGACTTACTACATCATACAGCTGTCTCGTCCTTCTAGGACTCACTTCATCATACAGCTGTTTCGTCCTTCTAGGACTCCCTGCATCATACAGCTGTTTCGTCCTTCTAGGTCCTTCTAGGACTCACTGCATCATACAGCTGTCTCGTCCTTCTTGGACTCACTGCAACATACAGCTTTTTCGTTCTTCTAGGACTCACTACATCATACAGCTGTGTCGTCCTTCTAGGACTCACTGCATCATACAGCTGTTTCATCCTTCTAGGACTCACTCCATCATACAGCTGTTCCGTCCTTCTAGGACTCACTGCATCATACAACTATTTCTTCCTTCTAGGACTCACTACATCATACAGCTGTTTCAGCTGCCTCGTCCTACTAGGACTCACTACATCATACAGCTGTTCCGTCCTTCAATGACTCACTGCATCATACAGCTGTTCCGTCCTTCTAGGACTCACTGCATCATACAACTATTTCTTCCTTCTAGGACTCACTACATCATACAGCTGTGTCGTCCTTCTAGGACTCACTGCATCATACAGCTGTCTCGTCCTTCCAGGACTCACTACATCATACAGCTGTTTCGTCCTTCTAGATCTCACTACATCATACAGCTGTCTCGTCCTTCTAAGAATCACTACATCATACAGCTGTCTCGTCCTTCTAGGACTCACTACATCATACAGCTGTCTCCTCCATTCTAGGACTCACTGCGTCATACAGCTGTCTCGTCCTTCTAGGACTCACTACATCATACAGCTGTCTCGTCCTTCTAGCACTCACTACATCATACAGCTGTCTCCTCCATTTTAGGACTCACTGCGTCATACAGCTGTCTCGTCCTTCTAGGACTCCCTATATCATACAGCTGTCTCGTCCTTCTAGGACTCCCTATATCATACAGCTGTCTCGTCCTTCTAGGACTCGCTATATCATACAGCTGTCTCGTCCTTCTAGGACTCACTTCATCATACAGCTGTCTCGTCCTTCTAGGACTCGCTATATCATACAGCTGTCTCGTCCTTCTAGGACTCCCTATATCATACAGCTGTCTCGTCCTTCTAGGACTCACTGCATCATACAACTGTTTCGTCCTTCTCGGACCTCATACAGCTGTTTCGTCCTTCTAGGACTCACTGCATCATACAGCTGTCTCGTCCTTCTAGGACTCGCTATATCATACAGCTGTCTCGTCCTTCTAGGACTCACTGCATCATACAGCTGTCTCGTCCTTCTAGGACTCGCTATATCATACAGCTGTCTCGTCCTTCTAGGACTCACTACATCATACAGCTGTCTCGTCCTTCTAGGACTCGCTATATCATACAGCTGTCTCGTCCTTCTAGGACTCACTACATGATACAGCTGTTTCGTCCTTCCTGGACTCACTACATCATACAGCTGTTTCGTCCTTCTAGGACTCACTACATCAAACAGCTGTTCCGTCCTTCTAGGACTCACTATATCATACAGCTGTTTCGTCCTTCTAGGACTCACTGCATCATACAGCCGTCTCGTCCTTCTAGGACTCACTGCATCATACAGCCGTCTCGTCCTTCTAGGACTCACTGCATCATACAGCTGTTCCGTCCTCTAGGACTCACTACATCATACAGCTGTCTCGTCCTTGTAGGACTCACTGCATCATACAGCTGTCTCGTCCTTCTAGGACCCACTACATCATAAAGCTGTTTCGTCCTTCTAGGACTCACTGCATCATACAGCGGTTTCGTCCTTCTAGGACTCACTGCATCATACAGCCGTCTCGTCCTTCTAGGACTCACTGCATCATACAGCTGTCTCAGCTTTTTCGCCCTTCTAGGACTCTCTGCATCATACAGCTGTCTCGTCCTTCTAGGACCCACTACATCATAAAGCTGTTTCGTCCTTCTAGGACTCACTGCATCATACAGCGGTTTCGTCCTTCTAGGACTCACTGCATCATACAGCCGTCTCGTCCTTCTAGGACTCACTGCATCATACAGCTGTCTCGTCCTTCTAAGACTCACTGCATCATACAAGTGTCTCAGCTTATTCGTCCTTCTAGGACTCACTGCATCATACAGCTGTCTCAGCTGTTTCGCCCTTCTAGGACTCACTGCATCATACAGCTGTCTCGTCCTTCTAGGACTCACAGCATCATACAGCTGTTTCGTCTTTCTAGGACTCACTACATCATAAAGCTATTTCGTCCTTCTAGGACTCACTTCACCATACAGCTTTTTCATCCTTCTAGGACTCACTCCATCATACAGCTGTCTCAGCTTTTTCGCCCTTCTAGGACTCACTGTATCATACAACTGTTTCGCCCTTCTAGGACTCAATGCATCATACAGCTGTCGCGTCCTTCTAGGACTCACTTCATCATACAGCTGTTTCTTCCTTCTAGGACTCACTACATCATAAAGCTATTTCGTCCTTCTAGGACTCACTGCATCATACAGCTGTTTCGTCCTTCTAGGACTCACTGCACCATACAGCTTTTTCGTCCTTCTAGGACTCACTGCATCATACAACTGTTTCGTCCTTTTAGGACTTACTCCATCATACAACTGTTTCGTCCTTCTAGGACTCACTGCATCATACAGCTGTTTCGTCCTTCTAGGACTCACTGCATCATACAGCTGTTCCGTCCTGCTAGGACTCACTGCATCATACAGCTGTTTCGTCCTTCTAGGACTCACTGCATCATACAGCTGTTTCGTCCCTCTATGACTCACTGCACCATACAGCTGTTTCGTCCTTCTAAGACTAGCTGTTTCGTCCTTCTAGGACTCCTCGTGGTGCTGGGGGCAAAATAAGTTGGAATCCAAATTGGTATTTTTAAACAGAAGAGGAGGTCAATAAATTTCAAAATTTAGAGGAGTACTGGTCGATTATAAACTAAAGAAATATTTCAATGTGTTTATTAAGCCACTTTTCAAGAGATAACCTCGGGGACTAAAAAACACACTATGAATCAGTAAATGTCTTTAACCAGGATTAAATTCGAGAATAAGATAAATAGATCTCCAACATATACCAGTATAGAAAGTGACATGCTTACTGACATATTAAACCTGTTATGGTTTGTTATGGTTTAGGTTTCATGCTTACTGACATATTATACCTATGATTTTTGTGATTTACTCCTTTACTGAAAAGAAAAAAAAATCAGACAACCTTTTTTTTGCTATCAAGGCATGTAATCTAGTCTACTTGTCAAAAGTTTCATCATGATTGAGTGATTGATTGATTGATTAATTAACTGGATTTTTATGCCTCCTGTACGGTGATGGTGTCCTACAGATGACCGAACTACTCAAGTTCCATTTTAAAGTGACATTCACTGAAATACCACGATCTGGACACAGTAATAACAGCATGACA